TGTCTTTTTTTGAAACTTAATTTTAGACCCCCAAAACTGTATATTGCTTCTCTGGCAAGCTTAGTGTGACCTTCCTGTGTTTGAATTACGACATGGATGGGTTTACTCCTCTGTTTACTAATTACTTTGACTTATAAGTGTTTATTATTCATTAATAATGCAGGAGACTGCTAGTAGCCTGCATCAGTATACAAATGGTGAACTAAAAATCTGAGTATTGCTCCATAAATCACCACGAAGTCTCAAGTTAGACCTCACTATTCCTGGCCTGTACTCATTTGTTCTAAGCTTCTCTCTACATTCCGTTTCTGGCTGTATCTTTTAAACTTTTACTGAGGAACCTTCTTTCAGCTACACTTTGAATATGCATTTATAATTGTTCATATTAACCAATGCAATCATGACTCAAACCTCTTCTCCAATTTCATTTTCATCATCATTTCCCTCTCCCAGATAAAAAACTAAATGCTCAAGGCACTAATTTTGATTAGGAGGATCAAGGTAGATTTTGAGACATTTGCAGTAAAATAGAGATTTAGAACTAAGAGGAACAAATGAATATTAAATATGTCCCAAGTAATGAATAAAATGCCTTTTAATTGACTGGTTGGTGTTCTGTTACAAAGCCAAAGGGAACATGTAAAGCATGTAGTGAAGCAGGAGCGCCGCTGAAGATAAGAATAACAGAAATCTAAACCACACTTAACTTTAGCTTATTTTCAGAGCCAGTAAGAAAAAAAAAAAGCAAAAACTATACTTCTAGAAACTAATAAACATACACACTGTAGAGGGAATGTCTGTGGAGACTGTCACTGACTGCATTAGAGGTGATTTATTAAGGCTGACTCCAGAGCAGACACAGTTAATCAGCCCTGCTGAGTTGTGGTGATCATTTACTTAATGCTGACTTCATAGACTAGCTCATTAACTTACAATGAGGTAGTGCATTAAGTGTTCCTCAAAAAAAAAAAAAAAAATCAAAAAACCTGATGACTGAAAGTGTCATGAGCTTGCACTGCATTGGGACCTACTTGCAAACAGGCTCCCTTATTTGCTTCATGCTTTCCTAATATCTCTCTCTCGGTGCTCTCTTCATATGTTATTTCACATGCTCAAGAACTGTGTACAACTGGAATAAGATCCGTTGGGGTTTTGGGGCAGTGTTAAATGATTCAGTGGGGCCTCTGGTGATCTAGTGGTTAGGGTGCAGGACTCTCACCGCTGCGACCTGGGTTCGATTCCCAGCCCCCCGGGCAGATGGAGCTCGTCAGCCCTGTAAGGCAATCCATCTAAGAGAAGGTCACTCTAAACAAACCTACGTTCTGAGGACCTCACTGCCACTGTCCAAGCTTGCTCAGCCCCGGCAGATGAACCTCAGGATTAAAGGGTGGGCTCAGTTCAGCGCAAGCTGTGTCTCACCTAAAAAATCCACTGCGCAGGCTCGAAGGGTTAATGACCTTTCCCAAATCTTCGCTCGCGAAGACTGGCCAGACTTTGTATATTTTTGGCAGACTGATCATCTTCAAAAATACCCTTTAGAAGAACACATTGCTGAGTGACCTCTAATACTTAACACTAAGCAAGTGATTCAGTAGACTAGTTCCATCGAGGTGCTTTACCTGCAAGAGAGGGTTTCTAGGCTTGTCCTTGTGCTTAGTAACTGAATGTCTTTTCTTGCTCAGATGATTGTTTCACGTTTTTGATACCATTCTCACAAATCTATATGTAAGCAAGAGTAGAGATATGAAACATTAAAATCAATATTTGACCACCAAGCAATGGGTTATTTTGAATGTGGGTTGCAGCTGTCCTTCATCTACAAGGGTACATGAACAAAGAATAACTACCAGTAACAATACGTAGTAGTTGCTGCCATGGAAAGTTTTCTAACTGCACAGAGATCCAACTGATAGTGCTGGTTTAAGTCACTTTTTATTTGCCTTGCTGTCATGTAAGAAATGTGATTTTAAAAGGTAAATAGTAGGTCATGATCTTTACTTCAGCCAAAGACTCTGTGAAGGTAATACTGGAAGGCAATCACTGAACATAAAAAGAGGAAGCTAGAATTTATTTTTTTAAGCTACTGCATTATATTATATTTAGATTATATCGACTGTCTTAATATAATCTATAATCTATAATCTATAATCTATGAATTGACTGAACATGATGGTACAGGAGCATCTTGCATGATTCAAGTACTAACATTTGTGTAAAATCAAACATGCTTGATGTTTTGAAAGTTATAAAAAGCTGTGAAAAAAACTGTCAAAAAAGCATGCTTTAATATTTTAAAAAAAATTAATTCAGGTGATTACGGATATTACTTTAAAATACAGATTTAAAGTGAAGAAAGCATCATATGAGCAAAAAACACAGTATAAGCTAAACTAAAAAACTTGCATCTTCTAAACTCTCACATTTCAGAAGCACTTAATTTAAAGCAAGACCTTAAAAATTGTCAAGCTTAGCTCAACAAATCTAATTATATCACACAGAAATGTGGTGCAATGCATTGTCAACACCAGATACTCTACACATCAATCCTGGAGACTGGAAGCAAAGAGAACTGACTGAGAAAACAATAATCCTGTAGTGTATCTATGTATTGTTACAGTAAATAAAAATAGGAAGTGGAACAAATTCCAAAACCTGTAACAGAAGTTAATTTGGTTCTTAGCAATCCACACAAAAAAGGAATTTATATTTAAGTATAAATATAATGAAAAAATATTCGTATTGATATGAAGCTATTTAATCCATTAAAAGATGCACTGGAAAGTGAAACCCTTGAAGCAGCAGAAAGGTTTTAGTTTGGTACACATCAGCAAAAATCTCATCAAACTAGAAATTTCCCTGTGTTGTTTGTGCAGACCCACGCTTTTAAGGATGCACCTGCTGGACTTCCTAAAATTCCAGTAGCTCATGCTTCTGGTGAACTATCTCCACGCAATCCATGCGTGGGTGTAAGGACTGACAGGAAAGACCTGACCACCCCTAACATTTCTTCACATTGTTACAATTCTTCTGCCTTCCCAACATCAAACTGTAACACCCCGCTGCTGCTGAAGCCAGGATTCCCCTGACAACAAACTTTCATGTTTAAATACCGCAGCAGCAGTGCTCTGCCAAATTATCAGATAGGGGGTATATCACAATCTTTTTTTCCAGGATTATTTGCTCAGAGTTGTTTCACATACAAGCTAGGTGGGAGCTGTAGCTTACCCAGGTCCTGCAACACAGACAAATTTCTTTTTTCCAGTTTCTTTTATCAGCTCTTAGGCACTGGATCTTTGATATTTTTTTCAAGATATTTTACTGGTTTTTGGCTATCTTGGACCAACTTATATGCGGGTAATGCAATAGAACCATGTCATCCTGTCGCCAAAAGTAAGAATACTTTTCAATGGAGATAAATACTTTTAAGCTTATTTTCATCCAGTGCTCCAACACTTTGAAAGTCATACTGTTCATGTAAGAAGTTACACTGCCTCTTAATGTGCAACATGCACCACGTCTCCTCACAGTTTTTAAGAATAAGATCTGCAAACAATTGAAGTTCACGCAGCAATGATTTCCCCACATGAAACTCTGCACCCCTATGAGTGCAAAAATCCAAAGAGAGGATGCCAAACATGTTGGGCCACCCTCTGAAATCCTCTGTGGGACACAGGCCACTAGACCTGCTCTGTGGCTTTTGATTTTGTGTAAAAGGTGCTCCAATTTCCACACATCAAAAATATATCAGAATGTGGTCAAGCAAGTCTGTCAGCTCACTTTCAACACGCCAAATTTTGCATACAATTCTGCTGTGTTCAACCCATGTTTGCTGAAATAATAATTAATACAATGGAAGTAGTGACCGGAACTAAATGGAACACTTAGGCTGAACCTCCATTCAGCAAAGGCAAGGCAGGACCCTTGGCAACGCACCTCTCCTTAAAGTCATCTAGCCCAAATGTTGCAAAATGTTTAATATGTAAAAATTTTCTTAAGAAAGGATGTTCTTTGATGTTCGATTTTTGTATAGTTTCAAGACTAATCAACAAGAAGAAAGATTTAATCTGTGAAACAGAGAGCAGCTAACAAGCAAGCTCTAGGTGATATCCATGCATTAGAAAAACAAATTATTTGTTGGTAGAATCGCCTTGTTAAGGTTTAGGACTGGACATGCTTCAATGGTCTCAGACCCAGGGGGAGGCTAACAGAACTCGGGAAGGATGTATCACTGACAGTGGACACAAAGAATGCAGGATTTACGGCCACGAGGACATTCAGCAGAACTCCTAAGGAAGAAACTAATAAACCCAAGTCAGCAACGGTGCTGGAATCAGCTCCGACTGGGTAAAAGGTAATTCCCTCAGGGGGATTTGGGAACCACCGACTCAGGGACCCCCGACCCAAGAAACCCATCCACCCAGGAGAAGAGAAAGACTGAGCATGGGGACTAATTAGTATGAGAAGAGGGGCAATCATTAACCAATAGAAGATAGAATACTAATTAATAAACGAACTGCTATGCAACTTGTAGCCAATGAACACTAATTCCTTTGTTTGCTAAAACGTATAAACAGCAAAAGGCTTTGATACTTGGGGGGCTCGATTTGTGGAATTCCACCGGGCGCGCAGGGTTGAACGAAGTAATCAGTGTCTCTCTGGAGTGTGTAACTACTGGCTTGTTGCACACCGGGTGAGGAAATTTTGCCGACAACAGTGGCAGCCCCGGGAGGGGAAGCGCTCCCCGCCCGGCGGGGCAGAAAGCGGGCGGGAGCCGGGCGAGAGAGCGGGAGCCCCACGGGGCCGAAAGGGAACCACCTTCCCAAGCGGCACTTCCGCCCCGCGATCACTTCCAGGTCGGGAGGGCGGGTTCCGGCGGGGAATGCGGGGACCGGCCGGGCGCCGCCGGGTCCCCGCCGCGCCGTGAGGGCCCCGCAGCGCCCCGGCCGCGAGGGGGCGCCGGGCGGGCGGGCTGAGGGGCCCCGGGCAGCGGCTCCCCCGGGCACGGCTCCCCCGGCCCCCGCCAGGCGCGGGGCTGCCGCCCGCGCAAGATGTGGGGGCGCCTCTGGGGGTTCCTGTACAACAAATACTTTCGGTTCTGGCTGAAGTGGGTCCTGCGGCTGCTGACCGGGAAGTGCGAGCTGCAGCGCGTCCTGGGCGGCGCCGCGGCGGGGGCGCGGCGGACGCTGAGCGTAGGTAATGGAGGGGCCGGGGCCGGGGCCGGGACGGAGCTGCGGGAGCGCCGCGAACAGCAGCAGAACCGCGGAGTCGTTTAGGGTGGAAGAGACCTCCGAGCGCAACCACTAAACCCCACCACTGAACCACTAAACCCCACCACTGAGCCGTGTCCCCAAGCGCCACATCTACACGTCTTTCCAATACCTCCCGGGATGGCGACTCAACCACTCGCCTGGTCAGCCTGTCCCGGTGCCTGACAACCCTTTCAGTGAAGGCGTTTTCCCTTATTTCCAACCTAAGCCTCCTCTAGGGTTGGATATAACGACCTGAGGCCGTTTCCTCTTGTCTTGTCTCTTGTTCCCTGAGAGGAGAGACCGACTCCTCACCTGGCCACAACCTCCTTCCAGGGAATTGCAGAGGCGTCCCCTCCCAGCCCTCTGGTCTCCAACAGCTGGGAACCAGTGCCTGTCCCGAGTGCTCTGTGCATCCCCTGCGTTGTGTGTTCGCTCCTCCCTTCATTTGAAATGAGAATTTTAAATCAGAATGCCAGAGCTACTTTCCTTGCGCGCTCGCTAAGGTAATTCCAGCGTCTTGCAAAAAATGATTCAGAAATCGTATCTTTTCCCCCAGTCTTCCCATCACTTCCTATATGTTCTTACCCACTAAAAAATTCACACAGATGTAAATGCAATTTTTTGGGGGTGAGGGAGAAAGAGTGATTTAACTTAGAATTCTGCTTATGCAGAATTTTGATCTGAAATAGCAATGGCAAGTTAAGAAACTACGTAACATTTTTGTGGTTTCACAATAGCTTGCAGAAGTGACCTTTACACTTCCTTATTATTTGGTAATAAACAGAAAACAATTTCTGAAAACAGAAACACGTTGAGACATATTTTTGTTTTGACATCTTTTCAAATTTGTCTTCTACACTTAATTGATGTTTTAAGAAAATGCGAGTCTGTTTTCAGCGTTGTACTCGAGGGTTATAAAAAAAAAAATCTATGTAAATTAAGACCTTCAGTTACCTGATAGCTGTTCATTTTAAGATTGAGTAATTTTTTTTATTATATGTGTTAAAGGGATGCAAAATATTATAATACTTATATGCTGCAAGAACACCTGTTGTCATTTATTTAAAATACTTCAATTTAACTGTGACGTCTTCTTTTTTTCGTATTGCAGAACATTCACTGGAATCATCAAAGAATAAGGTAAGAGATTCGAGGGATGAAACCTTAATAAAACCTTATTTCAGAGAGAGATCCCTGGAAAAGAACATGTGCATTTACTTTTTGATAGCGGAGCACTGTAGAGGAATAAAAGGCAGAGAGGAGAGAACAGCATTTTGGGTTCTATGCTTGGGTTAGTTGAGGTTTCTCCAAAATAACTCCATGTCCCTTCAAATGTTTATTTCCATCAAAACGTCAGCTTGGTTAGCTCTGTGTCTCCTAATTCTGAAGCATTGTTTCCTTGGCTGCATTTGTTTCAATTGCATTAGGAAGAACATGTTTCAATTCAGCAGTTGAAAGCAAACAAGAACCTAGACTAAGCAACTCTCCAGCTTTTCATTTATTCTTTATGGAACTCCTGGATAAACACTGTTGTTTACAGTCTGAAAAATTTACAAATTATGCTTTTATGTAATTATTGCAGATCTTTTATATGCAATTTGAGCCGATTTATTGTAAACAATTGCAGTGAATTGACTCTTGTCCTTTTATAGTAAATAAAGGCAGGTATACAGAAGCTGAGAAATAATAATGAGTTTGATGATTTCTGCATTCCTTGTGAAGTCATTTGCTGTGTTTACTTCCTAGGTTTTAAGAAATGCTGTACATGTTGAAGAAGCTGAAGTGGAGAAGTGTGTCAGAGATGTAATGAAAGAAAAGAGAATCGAACAGAGGGATACAGGGTATGTCTGGAAACAGAACATAAGTTCTTCATGGCCAATAACTCTCACTTCTTAGCATGTTCTTGCAGTTGCTTAATCTTATGCAATATTTAAGCCATTCAACACAAGTATTTAGAATGAAATTAGAAAATAAGGTGCAGTTGTGTCCTCACCAGTTCTAGAAAATAAATTGCAAAGTTTTAATTGACATGGATTTGGGATTACTGCATCTCTATTTTGCAAGCCCCTTCTGTTACTCCATATTTGTAACTAATATGATTATTGCATAGATTGATTACAAGAGCTGTGTAATTGCTTAGATACATTTGAGAGAGCACGGTGATGGCTGATGAATGTTTGCATTTATTTGCATAAGTAATTAGCAAATGAGAGGGGAAAATTGTGAACAGTCGAAATTTTAGAGTTTAATGAAGTGCTTCTTTGAAAGTTTAAGACTCATAAAAAATTTAGGAGTAGGTGAAGGTACAGGGGTCAGGATGATATATGGGGTTTTCTTGTGTCATAGCAGATTTTAGCTAATTTTGACTTTTTTTTCTTTCATAATTTAAGCTAAGAGAGCCTGACTGCAGCACTGGAATGGGCTAGGGATTTTTAAAGTATGTGAGATCCATGTGGCAGTGTACTTAATGAATATGCTGTAGTTTGAAAGATAAACATAAAGCACTTCCTAATTCTAGTGTTTACATTGCATTAACATAAGAAAGGTCTTCTCTGGTAGTTCAAGCTGGAATTTATGGCTAATTAGGCCTGTTTAATAGCTCCTCTGTGGTGTTTTGTTATTATTTCAGGTTTAAGGCAAATCTGCATATATCCTTACTGCAGATATCAGGTTATAAAAAACTGTATTTGAATGTGGAAAACCTAAGGAAGGTCCCATATGATTCAGAAAATGAAGAACACGAGGAACAGTTAATTGAGGTAAAATAATTTTTTAAATACAAAAGCTGTTTGTTTGGGTTTTTTTCCCCTCCAAGTCGAACACCTCGAATGAACTTGTTGGTAGTATTCTTAGCAGCTGGCCTATTTAAAGCTCTTTTCTACTTATAAACTGCTAAGCCATTATAGGAGTGACACATTAAAATACAACTTCAAAGCAAAACAGATTAGTAAACTAGAGTTACTTGCACTGGAATTATTTTGTGTGAAATCAGACAACAACAGCAACGTGTAAGTAGCAAAATAGGTTTCTAATGGGTCACTGAATGCTACTAAAAAGATATTCAGCCTTATGCATGTGTGTAACTTTGTAAACCAGTCATTACTGAATTAAAAAAAAGTATTTTCTTATTGCTGCATCCCTGCCAATGTCAAAGACAATGGTTTAATGCTGGAAAATAAAGATTATCAGTAATGTATTTTAGGCAACTATAAATAATAGCAACCAAATAACATATTGGTTATTTTAAAAAGCTTGAGGCTTTTTAAAATAGCTTCTACTGTGCAAATATATTAGTATGTCATTTTCTTAGCACTTCCTAATTATCTCAACTTACTATGCAATAACATTATGTTATGCTGTGCATAACATTGACATGTTATGCATTCACTGAGAATTTGTATTTCAGTTTATAGCTGTCCTATCACAAAATGGTGCATAAATCAATTCCTAAGGTGAAACAAGTATTTGTTTCTTTAGTGTTGTTACAGTCTCTTTGTCTGTGAAGGGAAAGTATCACATTTAATGTTAAATGTAGTAATTTTTATTATTTCTGAAGTAAGCCATTGTGGCATGGCTCCAGATTGCCACTAACAGAAAAGAACAGCGTGCAGATTGTGTCCTGGTCCCTGGGGAGGGGTTTCTAACATGCAGCAGCAAGTGTTCTGAATTATGTGACTTAGAACGCTGTAGCAGCTGTGTGTAACATGGAAGCATATTTGTGCAGCTCTGGAATTTGCTGATGCCTCACGAGAATCTGAAGGCCAGAATCAGCAAGCAGTGGTGTGACATTGGCTTCCAAGGCGATGATCCCAAAACAGACTTCAGAGGAATGGGTCTGCTGGGCTTAGTGAATCTGGTGTAAGTGAAAAGAAGTATTTAATTTCTTTTGTAACTAGTTTTCGGTATCTGTATTTTCTCTAGTTACTGCTCTCTCTAATAAAAACTGAATAGAAGCAAATAGAAACCATTATGTTCTAAATAAGCCAACATTTCTAGCAACTGCACATCTGTAAACGTGGGTAAAATCAACAACGTTGAGTAAAATCAACAAGTGAAGGAAGGGGCAGAAATTTGCCCAAGACACCTTATCTTTTGTTGTCATATGATAGATTTGGTAGGTTGTAACTAACTTGTCAAAAGCTTTAAAAATTCACAAATTAATTATTGCAAAGAAAACCAGATAAGTTTACATATCTTTGCTAAGCTAATTTGTGGACCGGGGTGAACTTCATATTTGATGTTCAGATCACAATGGCTTATTTTTTTTTTACAGTATTAGTTCATGCTGAGTATAACTTAATTTGCTACCTTTTCCTTGGCTTTCATTATGTGCCATTTTTCAGTACCGAGTAGTATTCAGCTTTAGTTTAGAGCTACATATTTTAATGTTGAACACAATGGTTTTTTATATGAACTGAAAGCAATGGAAGGTCCTGTTTGACACCGACAGGTATTTCAGTAAGCATTACACCAACGAAGCTCGGCAGATCCTTTCTCGTTCAAATCACCCAAAGCTGGGGTAAGTCACTGTATGATTTTTTCTGCCTTGTTCTGTGTAAGAGCTCATGTGATGACTGCCAAGTATGTGTCCAGAAAATTAGGAGGAAAATTAGGAGGAAAATATTTTTGGGTTTTTTCCATTAAAGAATAAAAAAAAGGGCCAAAATAGAAAGGTGTGAGAAACTGAACACTGAAATCAATTTTGGAGCGGGGAACTATGTGCAGCTTTTTTTTTGTTTTAAATGGATTTGCTGGGACAAAAATGTTGCAAAATACTGTCTTTGGTTAACACAGTGAATGCCTTTAACATCATAGTTAACTTTATTTCTAATAGCCTTAGATTAGATTTAGAAATTAATACTTATTTTTTGCCTTTTACTGATCATGTGTTGGGATGATAGAGATTATCTCTTAAGGTCCTCTTTTTTGCTAGGTTTCTGTACTGTAATAAGTATATTCAAACAGATGTTTTGTTCAAATTTAACTTAGTTTTTGAAAGCTTTGCATATTTAAACATTTTACAGGGAAAATATACTCTAAGACCAGTTAGATAAAATGATCTGATCTATCTAGTCCCCTGTTAACTCAGTGACCTACCAAGAGCAGGAGACCTTCATGACTTTGATTCTAAGTAATATTACCCTGTGTAAGTAGGTCCTGAATAGGATGTCTGAGACTTTTTGCTCAATTAAATCACCATACAATTTACACAAATGAACTTATATTTATTTTTCATTCCTCCAAAACCACTTTAACCGTTCTTCAAGAATTTCTACTGTGCTTTCTATACGATGCAACAAAAAACCCAGAATTTTTTTCAGCTTGAAGAGCAGGTTGCAACAGCCATTCCATTTATACCGTAACTACATTTTTGACATGCAATTTTTAATATTCCAGCAGATCTAAGGATTTCAAATGACGAAGTTGAGGTCAACATTGATGGCCTTACCATCTCAATACTGCCCAAAAATTGACTCTTACAGGTATCCTAAAGCAGACTGTTTCAGGGGAGCTTTTAAGACTTCCAATCCATAAGGTAAAACGAGCCCCACGATTTGTGTTGCAGATATTCCTATGCAATAGTTGGGATCAATCTGACAGAAATGGCATACAGCTTGCTCAAGAACGGTGCTTTGAAGTCTCATCTGTACAACATGGTGGCTGGATTGCCACAGATGGAGCACTTCCATCAGTTTTACTGTAAGTATCCTCAGCTCCTTTAGTACACACTACCAAGGGGAGGCCTACAACATGGAGTTTAGGTTTTGGAGTGCACTTCCACTCTTCTCTCATTAGCCAGAGCAAGCTGTGTGTCTTCTTCTTCTTGGATTGGTATTGGAAATGCACCTGATGCTTAAACATTGTACTACAGAAATGTACATTTAAGGGATAATTTGTGTGGCTTTCTATATATTAGAGACTGCTGTTAGAAAACTCAATGTTTGCAGATTTAATTTTTTTTATTAATTATTACAGCATCCAAAAGCTTGCTGTAGCCCAGCATGGGACAGTCCTTGTTTTAAGGGATGTCTAAGGGATCATTCTAGGACTAGCTGAATCAAGGCAGGAAATTGTGGAGGTAATTTTTGCAGATCTGTATTCTATTTTCTTCACAGGTTATCTAGTTTATGAGTTTGACAAGTTCTGGTTTGAAGAAGAACCAGAAAGCATTATGCACTTCAACCAGTACAGAGAGAAATTCCATGAAAAAGTTAAGGGACTTCTACTGGATTGCAACGTGATACTCACCTTACAAAATACAAAGAAACCATAACTCCTCTGCAAAATTTGAGGTTCTGCATCAAAAATCAAATGATGCATTTGGATTGAAGTCTTGTGTGTTTCACCAAAAACTGTTTAACAATAGAACTTTTTTTACATTTAAAAAAAAATTAGCAAAATTCAGTTAAGAAAGCTTGTACAATCAACCTCTGTTTACAGGTATTTATATGCTATTCTCCAAAGGGCAGCTTTTTAAGAAGGAAGTTAAACAAAAACCAGCCAACAAACCAACACAAAAACCAACCCACAAATCTCAAGAGCCTCTGGATCACTTGCTTTCACTTTTTTATTTCTTGATGCAGGAACATGAAGCAGGTATTTATGCTGCATCATGTTTTCTATGAAGAGGTTTCACAGTTAATTATCTTTTAAAAGACAGTTTAAGTTCAACTTTTCAACTTTGAACTTAAATTCCAACTTTTTAATGTAATAGTTCAAGTTAAGTTTGATTTGTAGATGAAATTCCCCTGGTTTTAGGCTTCTTGTGTTCTTGTTCCATTACATGTCATTATCATTCACTAATCAGTGTTAAATTTCTCTGTAATTAAGAGGTCCATGGAGGGGACATATTAGTCATTTATAATTTTGGAGAAGAGGCTTAATCCATCACCATACTGATGTACTTACTAGAAGTTACTTCTGGCTAAGGAAGTTTTTTAGCTGTGGATTTGTACCAGCCACTTCCTATGCTTGGAAGAAGTTTAGTTTGCAAAACAAACAAAAAGAACCACAAGTCATCAGCATGAGGATAAGATTCTCAGGCTAAAGCTACTCTTTCTAAAAGTATTCCTACTGTAAAAATTTTTGATTCTTTATAATCTGACTTCAGATGCTCCGGATGAATGACTTTGTATCTGTTGTCAGCCCCTTCTTCTAGCAGGTAATGGGGCATTCTTAGTGGGAAGTACAAGAGACCTAGTTTAGCCCTTTTATAAATTTTAAAGAAAAACCTTTATTGCAGCTGCAATCCTTATTTTGTGAAATTAAATTCACATCTGAGTACTAGCCTCTAACAAAGATGTGTTTTCCATGGAAGGGTGCAACTTTGATGTGTACCTTAACCTTACCATCCTCTGACAATCTAGTCATTAGGACTTCTTGTCTATATTGTGACTAATTATTGCTTAGAGCAACTTTAAATGGATTTGGCATGACCATCATTTCATTTTCTAAGAACTACTACTAAATAAGTGCCTTCTGCTTTTTTCAGTGTCTTTTATTTTGATTCTGTAACCAGATCACAGCCTTAGAAACTTGATTTATTTGAGAAAAATTCTTTCACGAGGTACCTAAATAGCTCACAGTGGCACAAAATTTGTATGCTAATACAAGCTTTCATGACTTTATTTTTTTTTAAAATCATCTCAGGTAAACTAGTTGTAGTCAATGACTAGTCATGAAGAGATTCCTGAAGAATACAAGCATTGAACATGAGAAGGAAAAAAAAAAAAAAGAGACAAATCCCTTTTTCTAATGAGTATTGTTACACTACATAAGTATGAAATATATTATAATATGTGGTACTGCATCTCTTAGAGATCATCAAAACCCAGCTGGACTTGGCCCTAAGCAGCCTGTTCTGAGGGACTCTGCTTTGGGCAGGAGATTGGACTTCATGATCTGCAGAGGTGCCTTCCCACCTCAGCAATTCTGTGAGTCTGTATTGTGTAACTGATGACTTGTTGCACTGCATCCACCCACGTGCTCTTGATCCCTTTAAGTGTTGGTCATCCCTTGCTTGTGGGAAAGCTCCTGGATCAGGGTAGACAGTACACGTGTAGGAGGAGGTAACACAGTTCTGTTTTCTTTTTATGGTACTTTAGGTGTAGATGAGAGTGTAACAAGTCTAACGTGTGCAGGGTGGAGAAGGGCTCATCTCACCTGTGTTGGGTTGGATGCTGTTCCACTTGGGGAAAAAAAAAAAAAGGAAAAGCACTGTGAAGCTGCTCAGAGGGAGAGTGTTTACGGTTGTGCCCTGGCTTGTAAACCGAGCAGTTAAACTGACCACATTAGATACAAAACTGACCATGGGAAGCCCAGTTCTTTTGCTACTTCAGGTACTTGGATCCTGCAGTTCTCACCACTGAAAAGCTGAGATCCTGTGGAGAGCATTCTGTGATTCAGGTCCTGCAGTGAAGCTCTGTTTCTCTGACCCTTGCAGACATTGGACATGCCTAAAATCTGAGGAAGGAAGGGGAAAGTGGACTCCTTCCAATTATGCTTTCTAGCCTCAGCTTCTGTCGAGTTTGTCTCCATTGATAACTTTTGCTACTGCTTGTAGATCTCCTTTGCAAGCAACACGAGTGACTGAATTTCAGAGGTGACCCCAGTATGTTTAGCAGCAGCAGGAAAGGAGATCCTATTCTTTATTTTCATCTACTGCTTTCTAGCTAGCAACAAAGCTGCTTGAGACACCTCTCTAAACACTACCCCAGCCAGGTTTGCAAGCTCTATTTTTTTTTGGCAACAGTTGCAAAAATAATCTACACCCTTGTCTTTCCAGCACTGAAACTTTAACTGGGCTCCTTGTTCACTGGGAGACTGACATTTGATTATTGCCGGGGCTTCTGAAGCCCAACCCTCAAGTTTCAGATTTCCTATCACACAGCAGAGGTGTTTTAGTGTAGAATGTAGATAGAGCTTAGTGTGAGATGTATCTCTGTTTAGCTTTTTTTCTTTTTAAATCAATGAGTGACCTGGGACTAAACTGTGGCAGTATACAAGGGGAAAAAGTAAACCCAGCTGTCATCAGCGAGTGAGACATACGGGAATACATTAGTTTGCATGTTGTAATTAAGGTGAATGTTTATGTTAGGCTCCAGCACACCTTCCCAGTAAAGACTTAGAATTTGCATGCCCAGTAATTCTGTCTAGGAGTCACTCACTATATGTAGACTAGTACTGGGTGTCCCTGTTTGCACCAGTGGTAGGCTAATTGTATTATGGTGGTAGGTAGAAGACATGGAAAAAGGTAAAATTGTGTTTATGGAAGGGAAGAACGATGCTTTACTAGTCAGCACCAGTTTATGCCAACTCTGTAGTAGAGTGACAATCCTGAGGTTATGGAAGATTGGAAATAGAGGTAGGCCACCTTTCTGCAAGGTTTATATATCAATTTGTTCAGCATCAGAATTTGTTGCTCACAGGTTATTCTGAGAGTATTAAAAACTTGCTAAATTCTCTTTATTATTTTTTAACCATCACGCTTCAAAGTACATACTGCCTTTTTAGAATTTGCAAGTGCTGTTAGTTTTCTAAGTTGCTGCCTCTTTAAAGCATTCACTCTGTGAAAGCTTGTATGCAATAGTCATTTAAGAAAAAAATTCTAAAACTTAAGACAAGGTGGTTCTCTAAATTTTTTGTTGTTCCTGTAGCAACTGTTTAACAAACTACCTCCACTTTTGTTGTTTAGTGTATGCTTGAAACGTGGTACCACTCTATGAACAAAATAATCTGAAGATAAGTAGTTTACCACAAGCAAAAGTAAAATCTAGTCTTTCACTAAGTAAACACTTTGCTTCATAAGTAACCAACTTGACTGGAAAGTGATCTGAAGACAGTGCTACTTAGGAGGAAAGAAAATGAGAATGTTTTTAAACTGGTTGTGCTTCTGTCATCTGATGCAGCCTTGTAAAGGATAGGGCGTTTTGTCCTAAAGGACAATTGGAAAAGGGGCCAATTTAAACACCTCAGATAAACAGTTTTGGATTTTCACTCTTTGAAAAACAAAACCAAAAACATGCAAAGAGCAATTAGACACGCACAAAGCCCCAAGCAGTGGTTTTCCAGACTTTCCATCCCAGTTTAAAATAAATCTTTATGAAAAAATTACTTAGCCTTGTTTTAGGAATTATCATAATGAAAAAGTTTGTATTGAGTTAGGTGGGCAGTCAGTATTCTTGAAAATACTGCTAGTGAATGCGTGGTGAAAGATGTAACCTGTGATTTCTTTCTGTCATACTTGTTTGTGTTGCTGTAGTACAATGTTGACTAATTTTTGGACTGATGTTTCTTGTGCCAGTCTAGATACTGTCTTTCTTTCTCTAGGGAATTAAAAACAACCCAGCCCAAGACAGCTTGTGGGCAGTTTCTTCTTATCACACTGTGCTTAGATAGCTGCTTACTAATAGGAATCCCTGTTTACCATGATATAAAAGCAATAATGTAAACTGTGATGTCTGTGTAATAGAGATGTTTACAATGGTAGCAAATAAAGAACGGGTTATTCCAAAATATTGTCAGCATTAGTATGTTTGGCCTGCAAGAAAATGTAAGAGCTTTCACTTAGCTGTGCTCTCTGTTCATGCACCTGCACTGGGATGTGAGAGAAAGCTTTTTCCTAGCTTTTTTTTTTTTTTCTTTCCCTCCCCTCTCCACTCCCCTCCAGCTCCAAGAACTTGTTTAGAGGTCTCTGGTTCTTGTACTGGGCTTGCATTTGTGCCTAGGAAAATAGGCATTGTTAGGAAATAATACTACAGCACCAACTGTTGAAATGGTGGGCAGCAGAACATCTGTATGCATGGAAGCTGAACTGGAAAACGCAACAACAGCTGGAACAAAGGCCAGCTGGCTCACACAGACCTCCTAGTTTTTAGATCAGCATCCAAGATATGTACTTGAAATCAAACACAAGAAGAAAGGAGTAAGATTTAAATCTGACTGTGAGATCCACACAGAAAGTGTTTGTTTTTACCTCTCAAGATAAGTCCGATACCACAGACAAACACGCTTACACCCAAGTCCACTTGGTATCTTACATCTAACAGGAAATGCTGCAGTGGGAAAGTCCCGAGTTCGACACATCTTACAGATTTGGGAGTACTACAGCCTGGAACACTCCCTCACTCCCTGTTACCCTGAATGAAGTCTCAGCCACGGTGCACTGCTGCACAGACCAACAGCATTCCTGGGAGGCCAGAGGAGATGCTTCCTGCTTGGCTTAGCAGAGGGGCTTCCCAGCCCTCGGCTCACTTAGTTCTACACCCCAGTAGAAAGGTGGCAGCATCCCTTTTGTCACATTCTTTTGGTCCAAGCCACAGAAAACAGACCTCACTTCCTTGAAAAGAGCACATACAAATGGCATAGTGGGGTGGAAGGAGACAGAGAGGGGCTTTGCTGCGTTTCTTTAGCTGGAGTGCCACATTACTCTCCAGGGATGGAGCTGAGTTTTGATTTTTGAATGTAAGAAAAAATTACACAGATGGGCTGCTGCAAGTGGTAGAGGTTTATTACTGCTTTTTTTTCAGTTCCTTTTTAAATCCTTACTTCAAAAGCTCTGTTTTAGGCTTTAAAAGAAAACCGAAAAACAAACCCACCCACACAAAAAACCCCAAAAAACCTCACAAGAGCAATTTTGTTTGAAGGACCTGAAAGTTAACTCTCAGAGGCAACTCAAAATGTGGTTTTGTTCAGGGGAGCAAAACTCCAAGAACAAAATTTGCAAGCTGGAGAACAACTCTAGAGAACATTTCTGGAGAAAGAAGGAGAAACCCTCAAAACCCTCAGAGGTTGATGTTCTTTTTTTTTTTTAAAACCTCTGTGTGTGCTGGCGCACCTTCATCTCCATACAAGCTAAGTTAAATAATTTGCTTGGGTTTTTTTCAGTTCATTTGTATCTCTCAGGCAGCCTTTTTTTCTGCTTCTGAGGTAGAGGTAATTTTCTTCACAGTGGCTGGTATGGGGCTGTGTTTCGGATTTGTGCTGAGCACAGGGTTGATAATACAGAGATGTTTTTGTTGTTGCTGAGCAGGGCTCACACAGAGCCAAGGCCTTTTCTGCTCATCACATTGACACGCTGGTGAGGAAGTTGGGGGTGCAGGGATGGTGGGGAGGAGACACAGCTGGGACAGGTGACCCCAACTGACCAAAGGGATATGCCAGATCTTATGGCATCATGCTCAGTATATACAATAGAGGGAAGAAGAAGGAAGGGAGGGACCTTTGGAGTTAAGGTGCTTATCTTCCCAAGTAACCACTATGGTTGATGGGGCCCTGCTCTCCTGGAGATGGCTGAACACCTGCCTGCCCATGGGAAGCAGTGAATTAATTCCTCGTGTTGCTTTGCTTGTGTGTAGGGCTTTTGCTTTCCCTATTAAACTGTCTTTATCTCCACCTACGAGATTTCTGGCTTTTACCCTTCTAATTCTCTCCCCCATCCCCCTGGTGGGGGACTGAGCAAGTGGCTGCGTGGGGCTTGGTGGCTGCCTGGGGTTAAACCACGACATTAGAAGTCTCAATTGCCCCTTGAACCACGTAACACTTGACTAAAGACTATCTTCTAGTGGAAAGGAACAGAAATAGCAGAATAGAAGGAAAGTTTTATTCCAAGCAGAGGATAAGGCTCAGTAATAGACAATACTGCTTCACTTTCATTCTCACTATAATATGTCTGCAGGTACCTAAACTGGTGAACTCTAGTCACAGACCAGGCTTCTCCCACAGCACCAGGTGTTGACATCAGGATTCAAAGGAAGGCCCCAGACACTGGAACCTCATATTCTAGCTAAGCAAAAGGCCAGGATACTACAGCATGCTCTGCCATAGGCTGAGCTAACCCACCAACTCATAAACAATTCCTCAGTATTTTCTCATTTTTTCAGATGTTTTACTCTAAGCCCAGCTAGTCCACATTTCTTACAAAAGTGGATACAACACCATTAACCAGCTTTTACTGTTAATACTTAATTTCTGATAAAAGGCATCTTCTACCAGCATGCCTTGTTAGTACTGAATTACCAGTAACTGGAACAGACTAGGCATCATGGTTGTCACTCACAGGGATGCCACAAGTTTGCAGAGTAACAGCACTGGAACTCACCAAGGCACGTACAACCCAAACTGGCAGGGACTTGGTGAGCTGTGCTCTCTACCTGTAATACACTGGGACAGCCACAGGTGCCTCCTCTAACCTACTGCTCTCCCATTTAGGCAGGTTGTAGGTTTACAGTGCTCATGCACCGGCTTCGTTTTGTTGCTCTGTGCATTCTGATGGAATTGAAACTCTTCCCAACAGTTTCTTGTTG